TGTAGGTTTTTTTTGTTTGTTTTTTGTGCCAGGCGACAATTTCGGACATTAAGTATCACTGTTGTCTCTCCTGACTTTTTTTTGTATGTGCAAATTGCAAGTGCTAGTGACGACACATAGTGCATTTTGCCACAGAAGTCATATTCATGTTTGGGACTACATGACAGGGCTGTGTGGCCATCTCTCTGTCAAATGGCAATTTGTAATGTTCAATAATGATCATTCTAGCTCAATATTACAAGAAAGTAAAAATAAAAAAGAAATTTGCAACAGATGCAGCAGTTGCCCCTTAAGTGCAGGGTGCAATGATGTTAGCATACAGTATGAAGACAGTGTTGAATGAAATGTATGTAAAAGGAAAGTTGGGATACGCTTGGTTTTCCATTACTGTAAAAATGACTAATTTTCACTGGGTTTAAATTTCCCTGATTTACCATTTCAGGCATATTCAGTGGGTTTTAAATTCACGGTTTTATTATTTAGATAATGTGTTCCATGCTAAATTTTACATAATTACTGGGTTTTAATTTAGCGCATTTTCCAGTCAGCGAAAAAAGCAAAATTAAAACCCAGTGAATAATTAACCCTTTTACAGTACTACAAGAACACACAAACTATGTACTTATTTTTATTTTGATATCAGAATTATCAAATCAAGAGGTGCAACAATATTCTATTAATGTTGATGATTTGCTTCTAATTCACCAATATCATTGAAAGCGATTTTCACCAGTAGACTTTGGTCTTGAACAACTTTTCAAGTTCAAGTTTAGGAAAAACAGCTTTAATCATTCTATTACGCAAATTTTCCTGAACATGTGCCAGTGCATTGTGGGTAACCAAGGAATGCCAAATACAGATGTGATGTAATCATTTTTAGTGCAGTGCATTGTGGGTGCTCCATAAGTCTTCTCAGTGCAAATATGTGGTTGTACAGTGTTGTGAGAAATGAAACAACGTGCATATTATTCATTAATTGCCATCCTATGGATGTTCTGATTGGTTGACAGAATATTAACGATACAGAAATCAGAAAAATTCAGAATACTGAATGAAATAAGTGATTTTGAAATAGAATTGTCCAACACTGTACAGGATAATATGATTATAATACATATGTATTTGTTTTATTATTAAAAGTATAATCACTTTCATAAATGTATATATCAACAAAATACTGTCAAGTAACAATGACATCAGCTGTGATGTTTTTTTCAATTCTGCCATTGCTAGCTCATAGTTTCTAATGGACAACCACTTTTAGTTTTAATGATAACAAGAGAAATACTGCGGAATACTTTATTTTCGCTGGAATTAATTTTCGCTGAAAAGGCTTTATGGGCGTTTTTGATTGGAATTTATTTTAACTGATTTTTGATGAGTTTAATGTGAAATATAGGAAAAAAAGTATATTCGCTGGATTTTATTTTCACGGAATCATCCCTTTAGCGAAAATATCGAAAATAAATTCCAAGCGAAAATAAAGTATTCTACAGTATCTGTTTTTTTTTTTCTGAAAGATGGCATGCACATATTGTTTCATTTCCTAATACCAGTAAAACCCATTACTCTTTTACAGGGATAAGTTTGTGTGAAATACCTTGAGTTTAGATTCTGGTCTCCTATTATCGTGACCCTAAGGAGTGAGTGTGTAATATTTACAATGAAAAGAGAGAATACAATCATTCATCATTAGTATGACAATAATTTTCTGTTCACTGCAAGATCCTGCATTTTATGTAAAATTGAACACAAAAACTGGATAAATAAAAGTCATAGCATCATAGTGACAGCAAAACAACGTGTGAGATGTAACAAGTATTTAGGGTCATTTCCACACTTAAAGAGCGGTGGTTGTCGCAAAGTGCGTGTTCGAATTTCCTGTAAATAAACAATGTATTTTACAAGCGTTGTATACGTCGCTATGAGTTCCATATCGAACAGGACGCAGCGCGACGACTGCCGCCCTTTAATAATGTGCTACTTGTTGTATATACACGTTTATGATGGTTAAATTTTGATGATGTGAGGGTATCTCAAAGCAACATCCCCCTTTTCAAAGATTAACATTTTGTCATTGAACAATAAAACTCAAAAACAAATCATTTGATTTTTGCAGCAGACATTCGGTCCACGCTTTTCACACAATATGCAAGATCGCGCAATGAACGTAAAACTACTTAATATCATATTCCCATTTCACCATGTGTCAATACTGTTCTCAATTTTGTGGTGATACCAAAAGGGCAGCATGGCAGTTTTCAGATTACCTACTTAAATAATTTTATGCGCAAATTTTTATCAATTGAATAGTTAGAATTTATTAATCTCTTCCAGTCAAACCAGAATTATCCTCTTAACTTCCGCAGACTGTTCAATAATTGAGTATTTTTGGATAATCATCAATTTGGTGGAGGTGTTACAGTACATTGTGGATATAATCTGTTTTAAGTAGTGTTCCACTGATAGGAATACTATACGGTATTGATATAAATAATATTGGCATAAAGGGAATACTGAATACATTAAAATATACATATCACAGAGTTTGATATTATCACTCGACATGCACATGTTATTATCACTCG